AAATAAATAAATAAATAAATAAATAGTACGAAAACAATATGACTCCCGCTTACGCTTCGCGTGCAGGGGCCATAATAAATGTTATCTCCTCTGGTTCAGTACATACATACAGTACATGTGATGATAGAGGATACTAAATTAAGTCTACTTAAAATATTTAGTATCTTCAATAACTGAATTAGTTGTGGAACATAAAATTAAATTTATAAATATTGTTGTGTAAGACAACTGAAAAACTTATCTTTATTTTCAAAACATTTATCCTCTAAGTCACCCCTTTTTTATCTCCAAGCTAAGATGAGCCCAACCCCCAATCCCTCACCTACCTCTACCAAAGATACATTCAAACTTTATCTCTTTATCAAAATAATAAAAGAATAAAGCCAATAGTTACAAAGAATACTGAATTTTAATTAATCAAATGGACAGGTTTTGATGATTTTTAGAGACAAACAAGTTGATATTTTCACAACCACTTAGCAGCCCAGGGGGGTGTGAGCCCCCCAGGTTGTGAACCACTGTACTCCACTGACAGAGGAAAAACAAAGCTTATCTGTGATCCTTCTCAGTAAAAGCAAAGGTAAACAATACAACTTTACTCACTGCAGCGGGACAGAGGGGGTCCAGTGAGACCACCTGGACAGGTGAGTTTCCTTTCAGAGTAAATCCTTCGTCTCTGTCCACTGGATAAATCCGTACCGTCCTCGGGGGTGTCCACTTCTGTTTGGCTGAAAAGATTGACAGAGGGCCCTGAGAGGACACAGGGTGGAGACACCTGGGTTAATGTGCTCCGAGTAAAAACTTTGTATTTGATCTGTTCTTCCAGGAGCATTAGCCCCAAAATTAACACATCAACCTTCACCTATTATAGAGAGAGCCAGACATTCAACAATATATTCGTTTTTTATAGTTCAAACAATGGTGAAGTCTGATATTTTATAAAACTCAAAGGTGTCTTTCATAAAGAATCTACTGTTCATGTATTATAAACAGTTTGTACATTTATGACTAATGAGTGCAGAAACATAGTATTCAGACTTTATGAGAAAAACCTCTGTTAAAGCTCAAAAATATTTTTAATAACCCCTAAATGATTCCCATTTGTCCTGATTTATGTCCCACTGTAGTGAATGAGCTGAATTAAATCCTTCTCCTCTTCATCTCTTTAGTGACGATTTTGTTTATTCTACAGGTAATGAGGAACAAGTGGGGATTTATTCTCAGAGGTTTTACTCCCTGCTGCCTCTAAAGCACTTCAGTTTTTTTTGAGTAATTGTAAATAAGTAACTGAAAGATAAAAAGTTTCCAAAAACAAATGATTCCAGCTTCAGTGTCAAAATTACCAACGTTTCATCCCTTTCACCAATATAAAATGAGTAGTTGCATTACTCAAACATTTAGCTTGTCCCCACATCTGAACGTGATGTCCTCAGAGAATACAATCCAGAGAACAGTCTGTATGTTTGCAATGTTAACCACAAATCCCCAGMACAATTAAAAATATCATTACTGATTATTATCCCACAATGGCAGTGCTGAACTGTAAGAAGTTCCACTCCTCCAGCTGCCCTACACTGTGTCCCACAATGACCTAATTATAGCTGAAACCAGGATCAGCCCACCTCGGTCCAGAGTGTTAGTGTTAATTTTTAGATTTTTATTTATCTTTTTTTTGTTTTGAATGAAAGTCCAAAAGGCTTTGGAAATGAGAAGACTTTGGGCTTCTTTTCTAAATGTTCCAAAGCTTTCAGGAGGTTCACCCTTGGTTGGTTTTATTCAGAAGTGACCGAGTACTTTTTAGGTTTTAAAATACAAGAGCTACGTTAATGCTGAACACCCAAATCCAGAGCTGTTTTACATCACTTCATGAATAAACCAACCATCACGTGAGAAAGAGGAAAAAACAGCAATGTTGTGAGTGGAGAAATATTAGTAACCCACATACCAGCCTCTGGAAAAAGTCGATGACTTTCACCTTTGTTGCTGTAGGAACCTCCATTTCTGCTCTGTGCTCTGCTTTAGCTAAAAAAAAAAAAGAGATTAAAAAGGACAATGCTGTCACTGTTTACCGTCACCGCCACATTTTGCTTGTAGATAGGTGAGTTCACAGTGTAAACATTACATCACGAAGTTGCAGATAACTGTTATTTATCACAGCTAATAAAACTGCTGCAGGTGTGGAAGCTTTTTATAAGCTGTTTCCTGAGAAATGAACCTGCTGCTTCAACACAATGGTTTTCTGTGGCGACTCTAAGGCCATTGTTCGGTTTTCGAGTTGAACAGAGAACCATTTTCTTCTACAAGAAGGCCTCAAATTAACCTCACAATTCTTTGAATCTCAGCATCCTGTGTCACATTAAACAGGCCGTTTAAAAACACACAAGACTTACGAGTGATGTCTGGGGCTACCATGTAGTCCGTGAACTCTTCCTCGTTTTCATAGTCACTGTACTTTTCAAGTGACAGGTGGTGGCTGGCTTTTAAAATGTCCTTCAGGAACTCCATCTTGTTTAAGTGTTCACACAGACCGTAAATCCTCAGAGCCTCCTCGTGACCCGAGATGGCATGGCGAATGTGAGCTTTACCTGGAAAGAGCAGAAAGATTCACCACAAATGTAAATGATGCATAAAGAGAGTAGAAGGCAAAGGAGGGCAAGTGGAAAATGTGACTGAGGGGTCCATCGTGAAGGCTCAAACCTACGGCCTGAAGGCAGTCTCATGTTTTCCTTTACATCTTACCGAAGCGTTCACGTTCATCTTTGTTCTTCAGGATGTCGATGGGTGTGCAGTCCTCAGGGAGCTGATCGTACACCTGTGATAACGTCTTCTCCTGCTGGTCCTCATCATCACTGGGACCCACTAAACACACAAACAAAAATGTGACTACATTGCTGCATATTGGAATCTTTAATCAACAGACTCAGACATGAAAAAAAGCTTTACTCTCTGAAACTAGATTCAACATAAACTTTAAATTACGCACTAAAACCTTTCAAAAAATGTTTCTCGGGTCAAAATGTGATAAATATTTGAGAGAATTTTAGGATTGTGTGGGCGTGTTCCTTATTCATAAGCTCATTCACAGGCTAATACTCCTAAAACTTATGTTTGCGTTTGTTCTTCCAACCAGTTTACTGCAGCTCCTAATTTACAGGATTTGAAAGCTCAAACTTCTCCGTCAGAACTTCCTCTAGCTTCGATCATGCAGTTTGCCTCACACAGGCAGCGCAGGCATTTGTATGCCGGTGTTTGTGTTAAATCTTTTTACTACAGCAGACTTCATTCAGTCCTATTTCTTGCTCAAGTCCTCTCTCTGTTCTCCACGGCTCTGTGCTTAATTGCTTCTTTTTCTGTGTTCACACAGGAATCTGTTAATGAGCTGCCAAACTCGAAGCTGCTGAGCTCCCATGTTTCTCTGTTCAACGTTGTCCCATTATCAAACCCGAGGCAATCCACTGTACAGCTTTGTATGATTTATTACATGTTATGTAGTCTCTTGAAATGGRCAAATAACCACAACACAGTTAATAGAAATGGAGCATTTGGACTGTGGATACTAACAGAAATTGCAATGTTTCTCAATTAAAAATAACTCCAGGACATCAAAAGCAATCATTGGTACAAACCAATACTGTTACAAAACCAACAAAAGCATTCCCATTAACCACACACAATCACAAACACACACACAGTTACACACAAAATCCTGCCCTTGCCCCATCTTGGCTCCTGGCTCTGAAAGAGGCTTCATCACTGTAATCCTTCTGTTTCAAGTCTGATCCAACCATCTTTTTTCTGCCTTGAATTCTCCTATTGTCCTTTTCACTCATCGTTCATTGCAATTCCTGCACACCAACTCATCTGTGTGAGTGTGTGTGTGTGTGTGTGTGTGTGTGTGTGCGTGCATCTTTAAACAGGTTATGTAACAGAATTAGGGCTGGCTGCGGTTCAATCCAGCCATTTGAGACAGCCAATACAGAAGCACAAACAGTACTTTAGGTGAAGATTTGCATATTCTGGTGTGTTTAAATTTCAGCAGACATTGTAAAAAACAAGCAACCCCSCAAACTGAGGCCACAACAACCACAACTCCCACCAGAAACACTGGATGGTGTAAAATAAAAAAAAAGTTCCTGGTATTGTTTGGTTAGTCATGGTCTCACTCAAACCTCAAGTTCAGCTTAATTTCAGACAGAGATGATTTAAACCCTTAGTTAGTGTTTGAAGAATGAAAACATTTTCTTACACTCATGATCCAGCAGGGCTAAAGCTACAAAGTAATGTGCCATGGAGCGGTAGTGGTTGGTTTTCACTAGTGACACGGTGGACCAGAACAATGGGACTTTGTCTTTGACTGGCGTCTGGATCATGGACTGATGGATTTTGTCAAAGTCCTCTGAGACCTGCCAGAAGGAGGACAAGACAGTTACTGAAGAGGCATAAAGAAGCACTGATCTGAATTAAATGTGACTGTGGTGACCGTGTTCAGCAACAAAAATTGATTTTGTAACTACATTATGAAAGAGCTATAGGAGCATGTGTGTTGCTGTTTACTTTAGCAGCCTCCTGAGCAACTTTTATCAGAGAGCAGAACCGGTTTGGGATTCCATGCAGTACTGTCTTCTCCAGCAGGCACTGCTGAGCTTGAGCAAGCATCAGTCGAATCAGCATGCTGATCATTGCTGGGCTCATGTCGTAGCTGGGAATGTGGGTGAACGTCTCTTTGAGGAGGTTTAAGACACCTGAAGAAAACAAGAAATTAGCACATGTCCAAAGAATACATTTATTAGAAAACAATGACCATAGTTACATCTGAAAGACTGTGCAATCTAAAACCCTTTGACAATTGTCACAAAAAAAAGATTACCCTGAAAGAAAAAARGTGGTTTTACAAAATCTTTTTTCTGTTTCATTCTATTTGTCTGTTTCCAAAGGGAGCATTTACACATTTAAATAAAAGTCTTTTGTTAGTATTTAGCTATTACAATATTCAACAGGGACATTACTTCTAACAGTAACTTTCTAGTATTTGTAATTTTTTCCTTGTGATTCTCCTGAAAACCTGCAGGAAACAGATTTCTTTCTGTGTCCAAAGTCAAGGTCGATTCACTCCACAGTCATAACATTTTGTAAAACAGAGCTTCTCTATGCTCGTAACGTGATCCATGTGTTGATCTAATGAGCAGAGGAAAGAGTGGGATGGTGCTTTTTATATAATCTGTAAAAAAAAAAATGAAAAAGTATATTGGATGTGGAGTTACTTTAAAGCGGATTACAAATCTCTCTATCATGAGCGTTTCAAGTGTTTAAAAAAGGTAAATCATGACTTTTTGTTGTTGTCACCACTTTATTATTAAAAGAAAAAAACATCAGTGTTTGTGTGATTCTTGAAAAAATAAGACAAAAACAAACATTTTAAAATTAGCATCCATGGAAGCAGTACATCCATCTGCATTCCAGCTAAGAACAGCTTGTTTTCAGATTTCAAGTTGGCAACAGAAAGTTGTTGACAACTTAGAGCATCACGTCACTAGTTTGTGGCTAAGATTCAGCCATTCATAACCGACTTCTTCATCTAAACCTCACAAGAGCATGAAAACAACTGCAATATAAATATAGTACCTCTTCTTATTAGATCCTAACTTACTTTACAGCTGAGACAAAGATCCCTGTAACATGAAAAATAGTCATCAAAGTAACCCAACTAAAGCCGTGTTCAGAGCTGTAATTATAGCGCAACACTGACCAAACTGCCAAGTCATAACTCTGTCAACATCCATCTGAGCTTCCTGAAGTTCACAGAGAATAATCATCATTTTCATTTATCAGAGGTCAGAGGGTGGAGGCAGACTCAAACCGAAAATAAAATCGTGTTTACACTGACACTATTTTCTGAACCAGTTCCATTGTGTCATTACAGTGCTATTTTACAACACATGAGCATTGTTTTCATAGTAACAGGAACATTTTTAACGTGGCTGGTTTTTTGATTTGTAAATATACTGCAGGTAACTGAAATGTTGTTGGCATTACAGAACTAAATGATCTGACAAATTAGCATGCTTAGAAAAAATTAAAAGCCTTATGCATACCTGCAGCTTTCTGAAAGGCAGARATGGCCTCCTCCAAGCCCTCTGTTTTTTGTCGGTCACTGCGGGTTCCAATCTGGGAGTAAAGGGCAGCCATGTTGAAGAGGATGCTGGCCTTTTCTAGAGAAATGTTCTGCTGGCACACCGGCATTCCAGTGAATGAATCGTACCTGCAGCACAGAGATGGTGTTGTTACCATTTACTACAGTAAAATATGTAGAGATGCAAACTCACAAAAAAATAAACATATATATGAAAAATTATTTAAAGACATTAAATTTAGCTGCACATTTCTAAGTTTGAGATTAAATTACTGTAAAAGGTAGATTCAACGTTTTGAACTAATCAGAGAACAGCAAAGAAATTTAATTAAAATAAATGCGTGTACATTTATCAAACCCTTTACTACTGCCTGAATGTGAAATATAAAACCTTTGTTTTTTTATAGTTTTCAGGTACAATGCAGAGAGTAATCCATGCACATGTAGATTATTTTTCTGTTTACTGCTCAAATCAAAATGCTCTTGGAGTTAAACAAAAGAAAGGCAAGTAGCAGACTGTTCTTTTAATGTTTTTATAAAGAAATTTGGCTTTTGGTAAGAATACACTTGCTGTACTGAATTAAGTATTTGTTTATCCCCCCCCCCCCACAGTAAAAATAGTAAAAGGTGGTGCATACCAGGTGAAGAAGATGCCAGTCTGGTGGTTTGGGGAGAAGAATCGGTTCTCTATGAGTGGAAGATGGCTGTAGTACTTTGCAAGCAGCTCCACCCCGGCCTCTGTGCGAGCGGGTGTTCTGCAAGCCTACACACACACACACACACACACACAGAGGTCAGAACTATAAGTGATGTAGATGTGCTCTGAAAGAATCAAAAAGGGCCCATCTCTGTTTTTAATAGTTTTTGGTAAAAGGGTACCCACTAATTTACTAGCTTCAGTTTTTRGATTAAAATACTATTTTAGATTTATATTTGCTCGTGTAAAATAAAAGCAATTATTCAGAAATACAGTCTGGAAAACCTTCAATTTTTCAGTGCCCTACTTAAAAGTAAAAAAAAAATCTTTTGTCTCCATTGTTTTGGGATAAGGACTGAAATCCCACAATGCAGATCACAGTAACTCAGCAAATCTAAGTGACACTTGCTGTGTAACTACAGGGCATGAGATGGGACTGAAATAATTATAGCAACATGACCAATCAGCTCTCAGGACAGAGGGTTTGATGGTGTTCGTGTAGAACAGCCCATCTTTAGAGGTGGGTGTAAAACAGAAACATCCAAACACACTACCTGCCGCAAGTCCATTAGGTCAGCTATCTCCTCCTCAAAACTTCTACCATCCTCGTTGTAGTGCTCCTGGATGAAGTCCTGCTCAAATCAGAGAAAATAAATAAATAAATAAATAAATAAATAAATAAATAAATAAATAAATAAATAAATAAATAAATAAATAAATAAAAAAGAGTTTTACACATTCCTATTAAAACAAATTGGTTGTGGGATTTATTTTTTTATTTATGCTCAAACATTCAACTCTTATCTGAACACAGAGGCCAAACTGAAAAATAAATAAGTTGTAGAGTAGTGTTGTTGATTTCAAAGCCAGCCGGACGCTGTGACGACCGGCTGGTGAAAGCGAGGTGTGAGCAAAGATCAGAGCCGTAACGCCTCAAAACACCCCGCCAGCAAACCAGATCAGGAAACAGCACACAATAAATCTGCCAACGAGACATTTACAGGAATGCTTCCTCTCATTGAAGCTCAACTTTGGAAAATATTTCAAGTTTTAGAAACATCAGACATAATAAATGTCCACTTTCATGACCGTGACCGAAATGAGAGACGAGCAAATTAAAAACACAAATTTACCAGATGAAAACAAACCAGCTAAGATTCTGAGGCTGGTGTTATCACAGCGACAAGTGGATGAGACAGACACAAGGACACCAGAACTGAATAAAATGAGACTAATTTTAAATCCAAACTGAACACAATGTTTATTAGTGTGGCTCATATTTCTTGTGTGCATGTTTTATTCATAGGTGGTTTAAACCTAAAAATGACATGTCCATGAATTTAAAAAATACTTATATAATCTTATTTTTAACTGAAACAAGGTAGAACTGTATTTTAGCACAAAAGTACATATTTTAGTTACTTTATATTTTACTGCAAATGTTGTTAAATGTATTTTATTGACTGTAAGAGTGTGTTCTGTACCTTGAATGGGGTGGAAAAGTCAACTTCTTTAGTTTCCTTTAGACCCAGAGCAATCAGGGGAATGTTAGCCGTTTCCCTGTAAGCAAAACAAAACAAGGGAGAAATAAATATCAGTCAGTCATCGCATCATCAGCACGATGTGCATGTTTGCTTCCAGACATGGTGGCAACAAGAACAATGAGACAAGCTGACAGAAGGCTTTTTAACAGTCTAATACTGTGGTAATGCTATACTCCGATACTTTAACCAGGAAAAGAAAAGTTAAAGGTTTGGTTTAAAAAGAAAACTTTAACAACAAACCAAATCTTTTAAGGCTTACAAGTCAGGATGAGTAGAAAATATTTGTACGAGCAGTGCAAGGCACGGGGCGACCTCTAAAGTTAAAAACCGTTTGAGAAGGACAACATTTTTGTTTTATCTTTAGTGTAGTTTCACAAGAGATCAAGTACACTCGACAGGAGTTTTTAGGATTTAAAGGCGCTGCACTTTTATCTGGTTCACAACTCTGCATTAACGAGTCAACATGGAGTAAAAGTAAAAACATCTAACAAATTTCTCAATATTCTAACCTAATTTATAATTAGAGGATACAAACATTGACAAACTTATGTTTTGAGCTGAGCTGGTGAGGAATTTCAGCTTGTAAAAGCACAGAGGTTTTTCTTCTTGGCAGAAAGGAAGCAGGTTCTGCTTGTTATCACATTTTGAGAAAAAAAAAAAAAAACGTTTTGACAGATGCCTCCTAGTGTTCAGGAGAACTGAAAAAAGTAAACGTTTCACCAAGATCAAAGCACTATAAAAAATATGCACATATGAAAAGATTTTCCTTCAAAATAACTTGGTGTTTGACTGATATAGGTTAGTGAGCATCACTGCAACATGAACTTCAGCTCTGTAGCAGCTTTTTCAGCATAAAATGCAAGAACTACAGTATTCAGCAGAGCTGCCCCTCGTACTTATGTATTATTTTAAGATAAAAAGTGCATTCCTCAGGCATACTGACTCTGAACATCACAGACAGGAGGAAAGAGGCAGCACTGTTATCTATTAGCACTTCTGAACGAGATCATTCTGCTCTTTTCTCTTCCTTGGCAGAGAAAACACAGGCCGGCCCAGAGGGGAGGAAACTATCTGCTATGAAAAGTTAAAAGCCTCTCAGAACCCCTACAGCCATGCCCCCCCCCCCCCCCCTCCACACACACACACACACCTTCACAGAGTGCCTGAGAAAAAGAAAGCACAAGTTAAACCTGTCTGCACTACCACCATCATGCTGACTTGAGAGTTCAGTTATGGTAGATTACACTTTATTTTGTTGAAAAGTAGATCACACAGTCATTTAAAATAGATTTACCTCTGTGATTTTACATCACAGAATGAACTGAAACAGTTCCAACTAAATGTTTGATTTGTATTACATTTTACAGAGGGCTTTCCCTTTGACATGACCTAAAATAATATTTTGCCAGCATTTAAAAATGACTGRGTTCTGCGAATGAACAATACTTGTTAACTTTCTATCAAATTGTTCATTATCCCTACACTAATATCCCTACATATCTAATGTGCAGAAAATAATAAACACACAAAGCAAACTGTTCTCAGAGTGTGAAGCTGAGCATCAGACCAACATCAGATCTGCCTGAAATAATCTGGGACAAGAACTAATATTCTTCCTCATTCTCACTCACAAAGCAAGGTTCCTGGAGCAGCGTGCAACACGAATACCTTTAAATTTTCATTTTTTGCGTGTCATCGTTTTTAACTGTGCTGACTCAGGAATCCTTTAGAAACATTCAGTTTGTTGTCCAGGACTGGACTTGAAAAAACTGTTTGTGCTTTACAGATAAAACTGTTTTTAATCCTGCAAGTCAAAACAGGGAAAGACTGTCCCTCTTATAAATGTAAACAAAAGTGAGTCATATTGGTATATTTTTGTTGATGATTATAGCTGTTTCTTATGTTTACTATGGGTGGTTTATAAATATACATTAGCTGAAGAAACTGAATTAAACTATCTCTATCTAAAAACTGCATTTTGTTTGGTTGAAGAATGAGAACAGAAAGCGGCTGTTCATAAGACAAGCCTGTGGGAAAAGCCCAGAAAAGTGAGGTCATTGTTTTGTTGTTTTTGTGCTTAGGAGCAAGGTTAAATTTCAGGATAAATTGGTAGGTTTCATTGTGGCTCATACAGAGAGACACCTGTACAGAAATGCCACAAGAGTCTTGCACAGATTATCTGCACCTTTGAATGAATGGATTTTTGTATGCATGGGAACGTTCAGGAAAGGTGTTTAGCATTTTCTTTAAAATAGACCCACAGAAGGACAGGCAATACCCATTTCATGTTTTATTTATGTATTAGTTTTTTTGTTTTATGCTCTGAACCCAGAGTAGAAAGACATCAACACTTCATACCGAAGTATTTGTGAAGTCGTATCAACCTTGGCATGGTTATTGTACATCACAGGTTTCCCTGGTATTGTGCAGCCCTATTTAAAAATTGTACCAAATAATACTGAAGTTTGTGGATACTAATAATGACTGCTGAATGGGGGGGTGGGGATCTACTTGTTTGTGTGACCCGGACACCCTGCACATTCACAAAAACAAAATATTTGATAAGCACAACAGCTTCACTGACACTCAAAACACGCTCAGGAAAACATTAATCTCCTATCAGCTAAAAAGGATTTCCTCATGTTACACAGGGAGTCCTGGCAGCATGCAGCTGTGCAGTCTGGATCTGAAACTGGGTTAAACCATCACAGCTCTAGTAAGTCTAAAACGCTGCAAGTCAAACAAACTAATCTGGGCTTTTTGTTATAACAGCACAAGTTGGTATTTTAGGTTTTAGCAGGTCAGTTACATGAAAACACCTTAGTAGGTCTAAATCTCATTTGGAAATGCAAAATCCTTACAAATGTAGTAAGAATGAGAAACAAACTAATGTGTGTAAAGCTTGGCACCTTGTAAAATGTGGGTCAATGACCCATAAGAACTGTTACCACAGCAGCAGACCACAACACTTATCCTTCTCATGTCGCTCCAGTTGCTTATTATTGTAGCTCCTTGTGGGGGCTCTCAGGGATTTTGTGTGTGTGTGTGTGTGTGTGTGTGTGTGTGTGTGTGTGTGTGTGTGTGTGTTGTGATGTTCATAAAAGTCAAAGTAAGTACATCAAATACATCAGATATTACAGATCAGGGCATTAAAAAGTCAGGTCTTTATTTAGAATAATTCAACAACACCTGACATGTTACACTGAGTCACTATTTCTTTAACTTAAATTAGGCCAAAAATACAGAAACCATGTGTGAAAGATAACATATCTTTAATGATTCCATAGAAACTAAATGAAGCTAATTTAATACATTTTAATAACTGATTTGTAGGTCTGAACAGGGCTATAGACTAACGTTTTGCACTGGTTGCACTGGTGCGCCTAACATTTTTCCATCAGCACAAAAGTTAGGTCCAACTAAATTTCAAACTTGTCACATTTAACATTGACATTTTAATGGTTCACCTTTTTAAAATCATTGTCCATTAAGGCAATATTAACTCAAAAATAATTTGGTAACTATCTAGCAAAAATAAAGTTTTATATTTGAACCAGAATCGTAGACGTATAACTTACTGAAAAGTAAMTTTAAGTGATTCTATGACCTGAAATTTTAACTTAAACATCTCAAGATAAATGAAATGAAATAAATTCTAAATTCAAAGTGCAAATGTTTAAGGGTTAAACATTTTATAAACATCAAACATTTTACGGTTAAATGTCTTTTAAACTACACCTGTCCCTCAGATGGGCAACTCCTGTAGTTTGGCCTTCAGGATCTTAGGCCTTGGCTAAACCAGAATGATGAACAGAGAATTATGATTAACAGCGGAATATTACTAATATTTATTAAATGAGAAACAACTTTTTAAAAGAATAAAAACAACATACATTAACATAAACTTGAAAAAGTCTGCAATTTAATTTGTATTAGTTGAATTTTATGTATCTCTCACTTAAAAAACTAAGCTGCGTAGTCATAAAACCATTTTCAGAACCAGGAATATAACTGTGGTGAAGCCAATTATATGTAAAAGCGGCCTGCCATACAGGTGAGCTTCCTCATGCTGCTGAAATGATCTGAACCAGACTGCAAGACGGCCTTTACTACTTAAGAGAGAGCAACCATCCACACATAATTTCCACATTAACAAGAAAAAAAAAGTTTTTCCAAATCTGGTTTAATCAAAAAAATAATAATAATAATAAATAAAAAACACAGTTGATTCAATGCGCACCAGAGAACATGCTCATGCTTTTGCTTCATGAAGGGGACAATTGGAAGCTCTAAGTCCCCGTGAAGATGGAAGAACAAGCGTGTGTGTGTGTGTGCGCGCTGGGTGTAGAGTAGAGCACTGTATATATACACGTATATATAGCTTTATTACAGGACATGGAGACTTTTTGTTTCAGCGGGCAACCTCATCCCCCCTCCTCCTCGAATGACGGGGCGCACCAGTGCAACCGGAAATATTTTTAAGATGCACTATTAAAAAATCAGGTCGCATTTGCGACCAAATTAGTCATATTCTAGAGCCCTGCTGAACACTTTAGAAAAGCAGAAGCTTTGTCAGTTCTCTCTTCTAGAAAGTTCAGGTGTCTAGGAGGAATTACGTCAGAAATGAGGAAAGAGAATGACCTGTCTGTCCATCAACTGAGTAAAGTTATGACTGTTTAAAATTGTCTATTACTGAATAGTAGGAATAACCTTTGCTCTGAGCTAAATGACTTCAGATTACTGGAAGTTGTATTATATGAAATAATATTATTTACATAAAACTGCAGGTTCACACATGCGACCCTGGCAAAGCTTTCAATCTAAAAAAGGAAACACAAGTGTCAGTTTTCCCACTGACATCAATGAGCATTTTTCTAAATCACTATCAGATTCTGTCACGCCAAATACACACATCCACACCCGACACTGTTGTCTATAAACAAAGAAAATGCCAGAACATTTCACTAACACACCCAAGGATGAGACCAAGCAAGATAAGTCTTTAAATAGAYGCGTGTTGCTTTGTTGACCTGCACGGCCATCTGATCCATTTCCTCGCTGCTTCGTGTCACAAAAACCTGTCAGTCCAGATCAACAACATTCCCCTGTCTCTGAGGCTTTTTACGTGCTGCGTTTTCTGCCAATCAGCGCTCATGGTTGATGATTCAACACGGTGTCATCAAAGCCATCCGTTTCCTGTTAGCAGCTGTTTAATATTGTGGGTTTTGAGTTCAACATATGTTTCCATATTCATTTAATATTTAGAACACTAAGAGAGATTAAACTGAACAAAAAGAAAATYTTTTGAATTAATTTAAAGCATGTTTTAACATTTTACTTATTAATAATGACCTCAAAAACCAATGTTAAAAATATGTATTATTATTATTTTAGCTTAAGAAATTGCCCATAGATGCACTTTAATAGACAAGAGCTGTGTTCTTTATTACTGTCAACTTTTCCCCTCTGCAATTCACAAATTTCTTAAAGAAGCATGAATGTAGGATGCAAACATTGTCACACACAGGTTCATATTTTCTATTTTTAGGGTGGAGTCTAGATGTACAAGCAGTAGTTTAAAAAAGTAAGTGAAAGCAGAAATATTTTTCTTACTGTGTGCTTTGATAGACGTCCACAGAGCTGTTGAGAGCTTCTAGCTGTCCCATCAGAAGTTGCAGGTTGGAGTTGATGTAGCTCAACTCCAGAACTACCATCTCTTTCACCTTGTTGTTGTTTGTAGCCCTGCACAGACAGAGAAAGCATACAGATTTATGGGAATTAAAAGAAAAGCAATACAATATAAGAATGAAAAACACTATGAAAGAAAATTGTGTAGGAAAAAACTTTTTCAGGTATTTGTGTAGTTGTAGCTAAAGACTGTAGCTGACTCTTCTTGGGTAACATAAATACAGGGTTTGCTGTGCACTTTAAACCACACACATAAAGCTGAGTTTATGTCAGACGCAACATGATTTGTCCTCCAAACATGAAGACAACATGTTTCAACAAACGGCAGATTTTCAAGGGACTAGTCAGGTACGTAATGTGGTGTATGATRGAAATATGACTCCACAGAGTTAGCTGCTGGTGACACGAGTGAATCTGATTGTGATAATTGTGACTCTTAATTTCTACCAGTCACTAAATTTTTGATTGCTTTACATACTGTTTTTTATGAAAGAAAACATCTACAAGGATAGATTTGTACATGACTAAGTTAAGACGATGATGACGACATCTGCCCAAGGTGGGTCTTTGTGAATGTGAAGATAATCTCAGCAGGTTTGGATTTGCTGGATGGCAGAGATAAGGATGTACTGAAACCCAAGGGTTTTTGTTTTTTTGCCTTAACATTCACATTCAAAGCAGCTGAAGCTTTTGTTAAGAAGAATTTATGTTACGCTGTTAGGATAAAAAAAAAACCTGCATGTGGATCTGTGGTAACACAAGATAACACTCAAACCTCTGAAGTGTCCCTATAATCTCATCTCTGTGCTCTACTGTGCCTCGACAAGTTCACTGTTGGTCATAATGAATGGTACACAAACATTTGCACATGTAGTGCACGTATCTCACTTCAAACCTGTCTGTTCACAGCCTGTCTCTTTGTTACTTGAATGCTGTCTCCTCTGATCACAGAGGATGTTATTTTAAACACAAAACACACAATGTTAATAGATGTTGGCAAAACGTTAAGAAAACAAAAAGGTTATAAAGGATAAAAAGCAAAATTATATAGTCAAACTGTAAAAGTCCTAAAGCTCTGTTTTGTGCAGCAAACAATAACTATTATCCAACAGTTTGATCAACATAAATGTCCATCTTTTACAACAATACGACTGCTTCTTTCCTTCCTTTTAGCTGGTGGATGGTTTCTGAAGAGGTTTGGTTTGGGAAACCTCTCAAAAGTTGAGGTAAATTTGCAGCGGTTTGRAAAGAGCAGACACAAACTACACTAGAAGCTGCTATTAAAATTCAATTTCAATACCTAATGTCATCCAGCAGGACGTGGGAACAAGACTCAGTCAGCAAAATTAGCTTGACTAAAAATTTATCTTCTATGAAAAGGCTGATTTATGCTTTCTTTCCCCCCAATAAATGTTTAAGTCCAAGACCGTATTAGAACCATTTTTCATTAAACATAACCATCAACAGGCAAAAGATGTAAAAAGAAAGATTTAAAAAATAAATCCTCTGCTATTTTAATGAGAAGAGAAGAGAAGAGAAGAGAAGAGAAGAGAAGAGAAGAGAAGAGAAGAGAAGAGAAGAGAAGAGAAGAGAAGAGAAGAGAAGAGAAAAGAGAAGAGAAGAGAAGAGAAGAGAAGAACCGGTCTGACTAGACAGACTCCACCTGGTGCTGATCGACACAGAGGAATGCAGAACAAGAGGAAAGAATGAAAAAAAGCTGGAGGTGGTGGAGATGATGGTAGAGAGCGTAAACAGAACAACTCACTCACCATAAAAATAAAACGTCAACAAAAAAATCTTAGCATATTGACTCAGAATGGAAAATACTCTCATAGCTGGACAAAAAGTAGAGTAAAAATTTATGGTTTCATAAAAATCAGCTTTGTTCAACTCAGGTCCTCATTCAAACAATGGCTGCACAGTTTTACACATTTAAACAACTTATTATAAATTAAGATGTTAAAAATAGGAGCAGATTTGCAACTCAGAAATGTCCACAGAGTGTCCTACTTGCAGCAGACAGGTATGTAGAAAGATGAGAGACGGACAGAAAAACACACACACACACACACACACACACACACACACACACACACACACACACACACACGTCATTTGCCCCTTAGCTTTACAGGGCAGTTATGTGAGGTAGAGGAATGCAGAGGCCTCTGCAGAGGTTCCAGACAGGTAGGAACAAACTTTATAAACTCTGACTGCAGTGGTCTCCAACCCTTGTCCTACGTGTCCACTGTCCTCTAACTTGAAGTCACCTCCCTCCTCCATCACACCTGATTTAACTGACATGCTGCATTAGGAGCTACTGTAAATTAGTCATTAGAGTCAGGTGAGTTAAAGCAGGAAACCACCTCAATCATGTAGAAACACAAGCTCTGAGAACCTGGAAACCACTCAGACACCTTCTTATGATGGGTTCAGTCGCTCTGACACAAAATTTTCTAACCCTACAACTGAACTGAGTCACAGTTTCGAGGTCAGCACAGTACCAAGAGTGAAGTCACCTACATACAAAGAGGTGATGGAGCAGCGTAGAATTACTAAAATGTCTTCTTTTGAAATAAATCTATCCACATGCATATAAAAAAAACATTTACAACTGTCATTATCTGCAGCAGACATTTCCAAGAGCACAGTTACACAACGTTCTCTGACAAAAGATGAAAACTATTTCAGCTGTGCTGTTCTGTCAAACACAGAGCACAGAGTCGTGCACACCCTCACCAGACAGTTCTGAACACAGAGATGGAACAATAACCTCTTTCACAAAACAGTTCTGAGGCATAGATACAAAGATGTAACCCTCTTTAAGACCGTTAAAATTAAACAGCATTTCTCTGACACAACCCTGTCTGCCCTGAATCAATCTTGACTTGAGATCAGAATAAACTGATTTGTAAAACTTTGTGTTCGTTCATTTATTGCAAAGATGTGTCTTCTGTATTCACAAGGCATACAATCTTTGCAGCTCTCAGGTCTTCAAATCATATTTTTACATTATTCTCGTGTTACAGTTGTGATTAATGATTAAATTCCATTTCTTTGTCCATTTTTATTCCACATGCCTTCAATTGTCACTTTAAGGCAGAGGTGCCCAAAGTGGTGCCCGCGGGCCAAAATTGGCCCACCTAGCCATTTGAGTTGGCCCACCAGCAGTTGTTCTGGTTATTAGATTGTAATTATGCTAACATTAAATATAAAATACAAGTAACTACAAGAAATATTTAGATTAGATTTAAGCCCATATATACATTTGCACACCTTATCAGACCACATATACTCAAATTTTAAATTATGAAAAGTCCCATGAGTCTTTGCTGCCTGAGCATAAGTTGAATTTTCTCCATGTCCATGGGCTGAAAAAAATAAACTAAAGAATGTGGACAACCACACTGGCTGCTAGCTTAATCGTAAAAAAATAAAACAACTTTACTTAAGTATTAAGCATTTCTTATATAACTGCATTTAGCCTGCGGCCCTCAGATTGATTTTAATTTTGGCCCTCTCAGGGAAAATGTTTGGGCACCCCTGCTTTAAGGTTATGTTTCAGTTTGTTTGAATCAAAAAACATTTACAGGGCATAGTGTAAAAACACACCAAAAATCATTTAAAGATTAAATAACATTTGTAGATGTTTCTTTATAAAATTTTAAATAACCAAAAAAAAATCAAGGCATCGGGTTGCTTGATACTGAAGTATGCACCAAATTAAATCTGCCTTTTTGCTCTCAAAAAGGCTGGTTTAGCCAAAAGATGAAACTCTACCATTTTTTAAAATAGGGTTAGGAATCCAGGTTTTGCTACCTAATCAAAGTGACAGGTTCAGCGAGTGAAATGTTAAGAGCAAAGATCACTGTTGCTCTTTGTTTTTAGGCCACACCAATGTTCCCCAAGACTGTTATCATTCAGTCCCATTTAATCTTTGTGGTGACAGAACGTTCAAAAGAGGTTATGCTAAACTTGTCACATTCAAACTGGATGTTTCTAGAGATCACCTCTGACACATAACCAACAGTACTCACTGTCTTTTGTTTTGATTATTTAACACAGGCAAATCAAACTCTGTGTTTGCATGTTGTGACCTCGTGAACAGTTCATCCTCGTGTGCGTCTGTGTGTGTGTGTGTGTGTGTGTGTGTGNTGTGTGTGTGTGTGTGTGTGTGTGTGTGATGGTTAGTTCTTACTTCATAAGATTCTCAGCTCCAGCCCTCATCCTCATCTGTTTGATGATCTGCTGATTCAGACTGGCCCGTTGATTCTGCAGTTTGCTTCGTCCRGTCTGTGCAAGAGGGTTGCAACCCTGAGACAGGAAATACAAGTATATGCTTAATAATAATTAGATACACATAAAAACTACACACAAGCTGTAAAAATAGTAGGGCTGCATGATAAACGACAATGATAAAATCAGTTGTGATAAACCCACATATCCTTCACGCCTCACTTAAAGTATATATAAACCAGGTGGGGACAAGTCCAGTAAGAGTTTGTTGGATTAATCAAACATATTTGGTTAATCCAACAGTTATGACTTGCAGTCCAAGCAGACTTTTGCTATATTAACCTTGTGCTCACGGATATTGCAATAATGATACATTTTCAATACATTTTGTAGCTGTCGAATACTGTAAACAAATCTGTAATTATTCTGTGAATGCTTGATTTTCCTCTGCAGTGTTTATTTAAAACTACATTGCAATGAATCTTTTGGTAGTGGACCACAGACACACTACCTTCACTTCAGCATAAATAACCAAAGGCTGATAAACAACTTTATGATGCAAAACTGACAGCAACATAGAAGGCTTTAAAAGGATTCACATGAAATAAAGTTTGACTGGATTTATTTTAGGACAGCCAAAGTCTGGTTTAGAAATGATCCTCGTCGTTTTAGACATTAGTTTACCATTCAGAGATATTTTGCCTGATTTTCCAAACTGATAATGGACTGAGCAGTTGCTACTGCAGGTAAGATATTGATTACTGATAGCAATTCCACAGGACACAACTTCAAAACTCCAAACTATTGCTTTCAGCAAAAAATGTAAAAAGCTGTTTCAGCTATCACGTTAATTCAGGGGTACTCAATCCTGGTTCTTGAGGGTCACTATCCTGCATGTTTTATTTATTATTATTAATTTACAGTATATAGGGACAAAAGTGAAGTATTAACAATAACCTACACGAAAACATTTCTAGCTTAGGCTAATTTGCAATGACAGTTCCTAACAACATAAAAAATAATAATATATGGCTTAAAAATAATAAAACATTACAATATTAAAAACAATTCATAAGACAGACTTAAAAACATCATTAAAAATGAGGCAGTTATTCATGATTATAAAACTGGTTACAAAGAGAGGTTAAATGGTTTCTTGTCCCAACACAGCTGATTTGAATGAGTGGATGATTAACACGCTTCTGCAGAACCTAAATAAGTAATTTGGTCACTGAATGTGGTGTGTTGGAGCAGGAAAACTACTAAAACGTGCAGCACAGCGGTCCTTGAGGACCAGGATTGGACATCTCAGCTTTAACTGATCTGGTATCGATGTTCTGGTATTTAAATGCTGCTGTCATGATAGTCGCCAGGCTGACATTGTAAATAAGAAGTTTTTAATTAATTTTTTGCCTGGTTAAATAAAAAAATAATAAACAATGTATTTTTTGTGTGTCTTCAGTTAGCTTCAAAAAATATTTTCTGTATCTTCGGTCACTAATTCAATGGAAACTGAGTGTAAGATGGTGTGGGAATAACTGTGCTTTCCCACAGTGTATTTAACTAAAACACACGTTCTCAGTGTTTAAACATAATGGCCTGTAACTGGCTGCTGTGTGTGTGACCCTTGTCCCCATCACAGCCATAGGTGTACATCCCTCCCTCACCCAGTCAACAGGCACTCACAACAAGATATTTACAGCCATTCTGATTCACTCAGCACACAGCAAAAGGTGTAGCCTTCAATAAAAACCAACTTGTCAAGGAATTTTTACTTTTTCTTTAAGCAGAGAAACCAGCCAGCTCAGTTAAACCAGTTAGGCTGAAGTCAGAAGTGGGGAGTTAAATAGTCTAATTGAGTTTCTTTCTATAAGCAAACTCTTTTCCATTTGCAAAAGGTAGCAGGATACCAAACAGGAAAAATAAAGATGAATTTATTACTTTAAAAAAAAAAAAAGGGTACGAGTTGTCCCATAGTAGAATACAAACCCACAACAAGGAGGAATCTCACCCAGCAGAGCACACTGGTCCTGATCACTGTTCACGTATCAAAGCTGTATTATCTCATCATGAAAACTTTAATGAATTAGACATGCCCATTCTAACAGCTGCTTTTGGGGAGAATATTTTCCAAATTTACAGCTGCCACAGTTAAAATTTCCAAGAAAAAGATCGATATCATGCAGCTAGAACATACTTCTTTGCCCATTCCACTTTAGGAATAAGAAGAGCTTTGCTTCAGTGTGTCCTGTCTGATTTTTCACATTCAATCTGAGTCATGCAGGGACTGCTCTTATCTTAAAGATTCCTGAAAAATGAGTGAGCTGAGCCCGTCAGAGGAACGTGACAATGTTTCTCCCCGAGTACATATTTCAACACAGCAGGTCAAATGTTTCAACAGAAAGGTCATATTTTAACTAAACACTCCAGCTACAGAATGCCGTGCTCTTCTCCCACCGTGCTCTGGTCACCAGTTTGATCCTGTGTGAACACTTTTCGTGACCTGAAAGTTTAATGATTAACTGCTTATACAAAACCAAAGGCCTCTTTATTACACAGCAGCGTTTTAACAAGGATGCTGAGTTATTCTCAGAATGACAGGTGGAGCATGTTGGTGAAAGAGGTGTGGGCTGATGGTAGCATGCCGTCATTCGATCGCTGCGTCTAAGGAAGGCGTGTGATAAAAACAAGGGAGAGGTCGGGGTTTGATAGAAACCATAGCAGTAAGTTTCCACTTTTAAACTGTGGTACCGAATGTAAAGTTCCCAATGACAACCTTCAAAAGTTATGTTGCAGTACTCTGTTAGTAATGTAAACCCAATACGTCATCTTGTCAGCTGACTTTATGATACACGGTTTTCTTTATTTTTGATAACCAACCTTACTTTAAATGAACAAAAACAGAGCAGCCATCATCAGCACAGTGTCAGTCAGTTTAACTAACACCCGACTGACTACTAGGAACTAAGATGAAACTTTGCCACTTAGCTAACCCTCTTTAAAAGTTTCACAGGGATTTGTACCCAACCTCCCCACTCTCCCTTTAATGCACTGGCAGCTTGAACAGTACAGCCTCTCTCTTCGATTGTACAAAACAATTCATTAGGGCAAAAACACAAAGGTAGTCTAGCCCAACATCATATAATTCACACAGCAAATAGGTTTGCTGCTGTATAAGTGAGGCCTTAGAAAGCATATGTGGAGCAAAGGGATAGTTTATACAAGATGTGATTAAGAGCAACATTCAGCCAACAGGAGGTTTAGACATAACCAGGTTATGAGCTCGTTTATCCTTTTTATTTTCTAATGCACAAGTTAAGTGTGATTAATATTTATATATTCTCTTTTAATAATGGCGTAAATGACAAGCCGACTCATGTACAAAAGTGCTGGTTTGTTTAATCAATATCTAAAAGCTCATTTCAGTTAAGTTCATATTTAATCACAGCTGCATCTCTCATTTGTCTGTTTCCTCTGAAAACTACGCTTGCAAAATCCAAGAGTGCCTCCAAGACAGGGGAACTCGTTTGGTTTGTGAACCAGGGCACATGTTGTCAATTTGTGTCTGTGGTCTGGCCGAGGGAAAGCCTCGGGCCAGATGCTACGTCAAAGCCCTCTTTGGCCGAGGAGGATGAGGAGAAGAAACATGCCGATTTCGACTTTTTGGGCTGCCATCTTTCCGTGCTGAAGTTGCCCAGTGGGCCCTCAGCCAGCTGGAGACCTAACGGTGGACGTCTGGGAAGAACGCCCCGGACCACAACAGTCCTCCTGATGCATCAGGCAGATGTAGCGAGGTCTTGTTAATCATTAAACTCTTTCACACAGGAGAAAGGGAAGCAAAATTTCAAAATTGTAAAATCTGATCACAATGTTTCCTTAATGCAAAGCTCTTTAACAGGACAGAAGGAGCAAGACGACAATTCGGTTGTGGTTTAAACGTGCCAAATCGTTTTAGGACAGAAGTTAAATTTATGTTTAAGGAAAAAAAAGACAAAAACAATGTGAAACTCATAATGAAGTTTGACAGGATTCACAAAACGTCTTAGACACACAAAAACTACTTTTTTTAAGTAAGGTGAGGCTTCAGAGTGTTTAGTCATGTCCTGTGGCTGTGCCAGACCCTGACTCCCACTGACCTGTTTTTAGCCACAGGAAGTGAAACACAGAGCCTCAACCAGACAGCGTTCAGAGGGGGATTCAGAGGGATTTAGAAACACAAAGGATATGCTCTGATACCCATCTAAACAAGTTTGTCTAAAAAAAATAAGTCTGGGTGAGAAAAACAGTGAACATGTGAAGTGATGAGACACAGACCATAAACATGGCTGACAGAAAACTGTAAAAACACACAGGATAATCACTCAACCACTGCTGACTGCTGCTTTTCTCCCCCAAAATAAACCTCAGACCAGAAAAAACCACAGGCAGCTCTAAAAAACATTACAGGTACTTGAGACTGGATGGGCTAACTTTTCAGGATCAGAAGCATTTCTGACCCAAATGACTCCCTACTCACAACTGAAGCACAATGAATTAAAAACTAAAAAAGTAGATCATTTGATAAGCGTTCATTACACCTTTATAAAGATCTAGATCATTTGTTATCTAGATATCTGCCAAAAATATTATGCAGACAGGGATCTAATTTATCTACAAGCTTACAACAGAGCTTTCAAATCAATCACCAACACACACACCCACACCTGAAGCTGACAGGGCAGGTTTACGCTGCTGTTGGTGACATTTCTAAGCTGTCGTTTTTAAACTTATTTCATGTCTCAACACCCTGTGTTGGTGCTAATTAAATAAAATCGTGTTTGTTTGTTTACGGATTCTATGACATATTTTTAATACTGGTAGCACCATCTCTTATGCAAAACATACTGCTAGGCCAACTAAAAAGGAAGGTAAACCCATAATTGTCCCCAACTTTCACTGTATAATGATGATGTGGAGAAGGAGTAGCCGTGTTACCAAACTAGCGCACGCGCAATAACACAGCTAACCCGGTCTGTTTAGACTGGAACGTCGAAGAGCTAAAAACTCACCTTTTTGAAGTAACTACTGTCTCCTCCGCTGTCGATTCCGTTTGGTAAAATAGTGTCCGTCATTCTGCGTGGACCAACACTCAGAGCAACTCTGACGACAAAAAGCAAGTACCTACGAAGTTAAAATGAGAGCTAACCGCAGCTCCGACAACAGGTGAGCTGTTCCGTCTACTATAACCTATATCTCTGCCTTCTCCCCACCCAGCCGACCGGTTTTCCATCAGGACCCAGAAGCTCCGCCCACACTGCCAATAGACCCCGCCCAGGTCATGGATAAACTTACATGTAGGAAGAGTTGAAGAACTGTGCTGCAAAAACCATAAGAAGGCACCTGCTCCGTTCAGGTGATGTAAACAACATTATACTGGACTGTAAGATATGGAAAAAATAAAAAAAACACCAATAAAATAACGACAAATATAGGCATTACACTTAAGTTAACAGTCTCACGTCCTTTGGAGATGAATGAAATGCTAATATTCGCAATTTTGCTAAATAAAGTTTAAGGTTTCTATTTAATATTCCCCGTGAGAATACAAGTTTGGCAAATTGAAATAAAAATACAACATTAACTTTAAACAAACACAAGAAGTTGAATAAAAGAACAAACTAATACAAAAGTCAGCTACAGAACTGTGTTTTAGCTATCCTAGCTAAAACTAACTAATTATGGCCTAATGAGCATCACCTGTCAGAC